AGACAAGATTAAAGAAATATCTGAGCTTGACACCAACGTCCGTCATCTGCTTCTAGCATCACCACAGTAGCTACCAAAGAACAAAATAACAAATCACCTCCACACCCGAGCTCGACGCGGCTCCATCGCTGATATGCAACTCTACGGACCTCGAAGGTGGCTCGCCAAACCCCATACACGCCATCGAACTCTAGATCTGGCACCCCACATGACTAAGACGTCGGAGGAGGAAACCATATTTGTCATCGGCGTATCACGAACCCAGCACACGATCCACCATCTTTCAAATGCCGCCGATGCGGAACACAATCTGCATCCGCTCCTGAACTACCTCCTAAACTCCGCACCAGCACTGGAGCAGACGTCGCAACGGCGGAGTCCGAGGACACAGGTCCACCATGAAGATACTGCCGCCGCCGCACCATTCTTAGTTGAACAGACTGGATTTCAGATATGCCTCCAAGCATAGGACCGATTGCTTCGTTGGAGTAAAATTTGAAGAAACTTTATTTGTTGTCGCCATCGCCATCGCTGCCGCCGAAGGCAAAACGATGAACAACCTAAAAATCTAAACTATTTTGGTCTAAAACTATTCACAAACGTGGATCCGCAATCAAGATCGTCGGCGGAGGGGAGCCGCCGGAGGATGGCGCTGAAAGGCTTACCTCTATGGCGGCGCTAGGGTTCCAGACGCTCGTGAGGAAAAGAACGACCCGATAAAGGACATACAAGTTTGACAAGTCAAGAAGGAATGCTTAAAACTTCTCCCGGTCTTGGAACACGACTATAGATACGTATACGCCGAGTAGAAGACCATATCTAGAAGCAAGCCAGTTAGATTCCGACATGCATCAGATAGCACGGTCGGAACAGGCTACTGGAGATCGGTCGCCGACCCCATCATCGGAATGCATGCCACGTCAGAGCTCGACAGCAAGGTAAGAGAAGGTACGTACGCCGCGTGCACACTGCGCCAGCGATTTGACTCGCAGAATCAGGAAAAGGTGGCGAAAAATTAAATAATCGTTGGCATCTGCGTGCGTTGCGACGCAAGTCGAATCCAGCAGGAACCACTGACGATTTAACTAGTGATTCACCGCCGGCGACGACGTCCCGGGAGATCGATAGGATGTCGTCGTGGTCCGGCGATACGGTTGCCAGTGGCGGGTGACACTCCCTGTCTGGCTGGGATCTTGGTTTGGCAGCTTTTCTTTTCTAGACAGGTTTGTTTATACGGCCACATGATGATATATCGTGTTGGATTTACATCGTCGGTACGACGATGCTTAACTTTCTTTCGGCTCGATGATGCTTGGTTTTGCGCAGGCAAATATTCTTCCGTGGTGGCCGGCCAGAGTGTTTTACTCTTTTTTTGTGTGTTTTACACAACAAGTATACTCAGTTGAGCGAAAAAGGAGATGATGATTCTTGTGAGACGCGAGTTTTAAATTTCTTATAAATATACAATATCCAGACAAATATATATATAGGAGTATGCTACAGTTGGTTTTCTGTAAAGAAAACAGTTTTCCCCTACTTCTAAAACAAACACAAAATATGATAGGTTTGGAACAATGCAGTTCATTGATTTAACTTTTTCTTAAAGTCCATTGATTAACTTTTCCTTTTCGAGTGAATGGTCGAACTCCATAACTGTCCTTGTTAAATTTATTTTTATGAGGCAAATATTATATGTACATTGCTTTGGATCAGATATTCAAGAAAAGATAAAGCAACTCACAAAGTCAAGAATTGCACCGCAATCTCCCAGATGCACCTTCTCTGTGGGAAATTCTACCAGGGCTTCAACTAAGACAAGGCAACACTGGAGCAGCCACACTTGAATAAATTTACCATGAGCCACCCATCTAAAAAACATGGAAAACCTTGAGTAATAAACGTACTTAGGGTGGAAATAATCCCTTACAAGTGTAGGCTATCAAATCAATGGATATTCACTATATATAGTGGCGATGAAAGATTCCAACTCGAAAAAATGAACCAATAAAATCAACAAGACACTAAAAAACTCAATAGACCCGAAGGATTGGTCATGTGATAACATGCCAGATGCATGGACACGCTTTCGGCCCAAACCCATCAAATCGACCTGATCCAAATGGCCTGTTAGGCCTGTGTTATTCAAAGATTAGGCAGGAGAAACCGTGGGAGCTATGTCTCGCTTGTCGCGAGACATAACTTCAGCTCGCCGATCCATGGCTATTGGGTCGGACCAACTCTGTAGCTACCTCATGTTTTTTTTCTCAATGATTTTCTTATCAGTTTTCACTGTTTTGCATTTTTTTGCATTTCCTTTTCTTTTTTTTTATTTTCTATGTTTCTTTCTTTGATTTTCATCAATTTTATTTTTTCCTTTTTCTTCAACATATGTCTACATTTGCCATACACATTGTACATACACATCAGGAACATTCTTTTTCATGTTTAAAATTTTCCAAATACAAGATTACCATTATTTCAAATATATATTTTGATGTGTATTTTTTAACATTTTTGCAAATACATGTTTTCGAACATGATTTTGAATACGTGTTGGAAATTTTTCAAACACACACTGAAACATTTTTTTGAATGATACAAAACTTGCTTTCTAAAATTATGCAAACATTTTTAAATTGTATAAACATTGTTTAAAGAAAAAAGTCCATTTTACTACCCTGAAGAAACCTGCTGACCCCCTGATGTTTTTTTCTGCTCCCTTTACCCCCCGCAACTATCGCTGGTTGGTTTGCCCCGATTGAATGCTAACATGGACACGGTCAAAAGAGCTATTTGACCTATGGATGGGTCCCACTGGATTAAAACAAATCCTAAAAAGCTAGTTAACCGAGGGGGAGGCACGTGTTAGGGACCTAACTAACCCTAATTAACCCTAAACTAATCATGCCACACTAGCTACACCGGTGATTAGCCGCCGGTGGCCCAATCCACCATGGAGGGGGCTCGACTTTGATAATTTGCCAACCATTTAATGCACAAATGGGGTCCGCAAAGAGCTGGGACCAAGCCGCGTCTGTTGGTGGTGATGTGTCTGCGGTGGATGGTCGGAATCGTTGCCTGCGACGAGGCTTGCAGCGACAGTGGCATGTGTTCGACGTAAGTGTCGCTACAGGGCGCGAGGGAGCTACCTAAGGAGCGCAAAGGCATCCTAGGAGAGGGCAGCGAAGAAGGCGTCGGTACGGGGCGCAGGGGAGCTAGCTAAGGTGTCACTACGGCCACGTGAACAACGAACTGCGGCGATAGGGTGCTCTGACCTAATCGGGGAAGAGGCCAGGGAAGAAGGGGAAAAAGCCAAGGGGGCAAGGGAAGCTGGCAGACAGCTTCGGGAGGCCTTATCCCCTCTTCGACTAGCCGCCAACAAGTAGGAGGTGGGGGCTACGCACGTGCGTTGACCACACGCACATCCTTCTGTCCAAAGGTAGAAGATGTGAGGGGCTCTAGGTTGTGTTGGCTATTGGGCCCACTGGTCAAATACCGCTATGACCTTGTCCACGTTAGCAAACCACCAGAGGAAACCACATAAGATGTTTTCTGAACGGTATTGGATAGATCAGGGGGTTAAGAGAGCAAAAAAAGGTTATGGGGTTATGTGAACCACCAAGTTTCTTCAGGGTAGTAAAATGGACATTTTTCTTCCAAAATGTCACGAACGTATTTTTGAAACTCGTGAAGATTTTTTAAATGTATTCTTCATTTTTTTAATGGTACGAAACATTTCTTCATAATTTTAAACACAACATTTATTTTACATTGTATAAAGATTTAAAAAAATAATGTATATTTTGTTTGGAATGCGTGAACATTTTGTAATATCACCAACATTTTTTTGAATGTTATATCACCAACATTTTTTTGAATGTTATATCACCATTCTAAAAAATTACTATGATAATAAACTTTTTACACCGTATTAACAATTTTCATACTCAGAGTGAATGTTTATTTAAAAAAATTATGTGAATTAAGTATTTTATTGGGAAATATATATGTATTTAGAATATTCTAAAATATAAATAAAAAATAAAAGTAAAAAAGAACGAAACTGGCGAACTATATTTACTGGCCCGGTCTAATTAGGGTGTTGACAAGGCGAGGAGACAGAGATGCACCCAGGAAGAAGGGAAAAGTTTGTTTTTGCCACTCTAGTTTTTACCCATCTTGCTTATGTCACTCTTGAATTTGACATTTTATTTTTTGTCACTCTTAGCTTTTGACAATATTCACTTTTGTCATTCGGTGGCAAAAGCAAAATTTTCAGAGTGGCAATTGTGATGAATTGTCAAAAGCTAAGAGTGACAAATGTGAAATAAAAAATTATCATTTTTCTATGGAATGACATTTATGATGTATTGTCAAAAGCTAAGAGCAGCAAAAGTGAGATGTCAAATTCTAAAATGACATACATAAAATGAAAAAAAACTAGAGTGACAAAAATAAAGTTTTCTCTATAAAGTACATCTTCGGATCATTTTCTAGGGCCTGTATGCGCGCGCACAGAGTCCCAAAAATGCCAACTGCCCCCTTAAAAAACTCCAACTGGGTTTGCGGCGGATCTCGAGGCAGAAGCCGCCACCCCAGCACGATACTTGGCGCACGGACAGAGGCGGAATCCCGTCACGATTCACACAGCCGCCCAGTTCGTCTCTCACTTCAAGGTTCGAGCTGCAACGACGAGTGGCCAAGGAAGAGAGATGCTCTCTGTCATTTGTAGCACTGACTCATGTGCTACTTCTTTCTTTTTTTTTTAGGGAAAACTCATGTGCTATTTCGAAAACAAAGGGACTGGAACAAGACATGACAGCCCATGCAGATGCAGGACCGTTGCAACTCATGTGGTAGGCTGTACTATTCCAGCCCGTAGTCACACTATAGCCTGACACATTACAGATCACGAGGCCCATACGGCCGCCAAAAGCCCACCACACCACGATACTACTCCCTCTGTCCCAAAATAATATAAGAACGTTTTTGATAGTACAATGCTAGTGCAAAAAGCGTTCTTATATTCTGGGACGGGACGGAGGGAGTACTTGTTGGCGCACGGACAGAGGCACGATTCGCAGTTCGCAGTTCGCACAGCCGCCCCGTTCGTCTCTCTCTCACTCAGTCTCTCGCTTCAAGGTTCCGGCCAACCAGCTGCAATGGGCTCCGTGGCGGTGCCGCCGTGCCACGTCGTGGCCGTGCCGTTCCCTGGCCGCGGCCACGTCAACGCCATGCTGAACCTGTGCCGCCTCCTCGCCGCCCGCGACGGCGTCTCGGCCACCGTCGTCGTCACCGAGGAGTGGCTCGGCCTGCTCGGCGGTCCCGCGCTCGCGCCGGGCGTCCGCCTCGAGGCCGTCCCCAACGTCATCCCCTCCGAGCACGGCCGCGCCGCCGACTGGGCCGGGTTCGTGGACGCCGTGTACAACAAAATGGAGGCGCCGTTCGAGCGCCTGCTCGACCGTATCGGGGCCGCGCCCGCGGCCATTGTGACCGACACGTTCGTGCCGGGGGCAGTGCGCGTCGGCAACCGGCGGGGCGTCCCCGTGTGCATCCTCTCGGCGCTCGGCGCCACCATGTTCTCCGTGCACTACCGCTTCGACCGGTTGCCCACGGCTTCCGGCGGTAGCGCTGACATGACCGGTACCAGCACTACACCTCAGCTACCTCGTCCCTCTCGTAGCTAACGCGCAGTGTTCTTCTTTCTCTAGTTAAACATTTCTGCAGCACATTACTGTAAATGATTAGTCTGAAATCTCATGCAGATGTCACTGATGATCCTTGTCTGATGGAAAACTACATTCCTGGACTCAAGTCGATCAGGCTTGCCGATCTTGAGCCCACGCACTCCGACAAGATTAGGCTGGACAAAATCCTTGAAGCATACCCGTATGTGAGGAAAGCGCAGTGTGTCATCTTCACCTCATTCTACGAACTCGAGAGCAACGCCATTGACTTTCTCAGGCAAGAGCTCCCCTGCCCTGTGTTTGCCGTTGGTCCTTGCATCCCCTTCTTGGCACTCCAAGAAAACCAGGCCGATTCAGAGGAAGAAAAAGGCTACATGACTTGGCTGGACACACAGCCGGCGAGCTCAGTGCTCTACGTCTCACTCGGCAGCTTCCTCTCGGTGTCGCCCGCCCAGATGGACGAGATCGCCATCGGCCTTGCGCAGAGCAAGGTCAGGTTCCTTTGGGTGCTGCGCGACGCGTGCGGCCGCGTGCAGGGCTTGGCTTGCGGTGGTGGAAGCGACGGCGTGGTTGTCCCATGGTGTGACCAGCTCAAAGTATTGTGCCATCCCTCCATTGGTGGGTTCATCACCCACTGTGGCATGAACTCGACGCTGGAGGCGCTGTACGCCGGCGTGCCGATGCTGACTCTGCCGATAGCCTTCGACCAGCCGATCAATAGCCGGCGTATCGTCGATGAGTGGAAGGTCGGGTACAGCCTCAAGGAGAAAGCCCGGGCCGACGGCGTCATTGGTAGAGAGGAAATCGCGGAAACCGTGAAGAGGCTGATGGACTGTGGTGATGGCGAGGGCACGAGGAGGAGAGCTTCGCTGCTGAAGGAGGCTTCTCGCGCCGCTGTTGAAGTGGGTGGTTCCTCGGACAGAGATATGACGTCTTTCATCAATTACATTTCACAGTTCAAGAACTGATATGTTCTTAGAGGCTACATTCTCAAACAAACGTACTCCCTTCGTTCCATAATTCCTGTCGTGGTTTTAGTTCAAAAATACTAGTAGGTTCGTTATCATGATGTATTCGAATTCGATTTGTATTAGCTGCTAGTACTCCACCATTTCCAAATGAACTCTGGTCGATTTTCTCATGGAATGGAGGAGATTTCTAATAGTACTTCCAGAACAATCTCTTTGGTGTAATAAACTTGCACAAGATTCAATTGGTGGCAGATTGTTAATAACTCAAACTACTTTCTCTAGTGTAGTAAGTCGACTCCACCGGCCCTCTTTGCTTTTTTATGAGGTATTAACTCATTTTTCTGCACTTTTCTGCCGGAGTAGTGTATTTGTGCATTTAACATCTCTTTGTACTCTTTGTCTTTGTCTTTGAAGGAAATAATTAATTATTACAATAGCTCTCCTTGTCTTTGAGAAAGTCACTTGCATTGTTCAGAACACTTGCAAGTAAGTACATGACTATTTTGTTCAACTAATCTAACAAAAACCAGAGAAATGACCAATACCACACAAGAAACTGGAAAAGCTTTAGGACTCCATTGATTCAAAGGATTTTCATAGGAGTTTTAGAGGATTAGAATTCTTAGGGTTTTTTCTATGTTGGTTGTTCGATTCGTAGGATAGAAATAGAATCATCTAGGGATTTTTCCTATGGATTTCTTTGTATTACTTCTCATAGGATTTCTAGCATCCACTCAAACCTTTTTAAAAGAAATCTTTATTTTTAGGCCTCGAGGATTGTATCTTCTCAATGCAGACATAGTCATTGATGTCATAGGTTGAGCACCCATAGGCAAGCGCTCGAAGAGCCACAACACACTTCATCAATGGAAAATCCTCGCAGTGAGTCATGGAGTGAACCCATTGTCTAAATTTTATGGCTCCAACCCCTACACAGAACTATGGTGGTAGCAACATCGGCACATCGTCGCCACATGTGCGGGATGAGGATGGAGGATTCTCCGATGATTGGACTATATTTTCTCTTTATTTTAGGGGGTTTCTTGTAATGCTCGTGTTTGATTAATATAGAGCTTCAACTCCTTTACAAAAAAGGGAAATGCTTTAGAGATGATGTTTTCCCTGCGTGGATCGCTAAGCGGTGAAAGCATAGCAATGATCGTTTCCTCCCATGCACCCTCCCGAGCGAATGATGCAAATGTTCTCTCTCTCTCTCTCTCTCTCTCTCTCTCTCTCTCTCTCTCTCTCTCTCTCTCTCTCTCACGATCCCGTGTTTAGCATGGAACCCTCTACGATGTAGGATGGCAATTACTCGAAGCATATATAACAACTTTCCTGCACACAATGGAACATGTGGGCAACTTCCCATTTTTTTAGCCTGGCAATTCTCTCAGCTGTAGATGGCAAATCCTTGATACGCATGACAATTTCTCTTTCTACTCCATAGCAAACTCATGTGATAATTATTTTTTCTTAGCATGGCAAATCTCTCATTATAGCACGACAAATCTCTTTGTTATAGCATGACAATTCCTAAAATACTCCCTATGGGTTGTTTTTTGAAAAATGCTCTTTGCTGACACCATTCACTAGAAAGAGCCTCCATGAGGGACGTTGGCTCACCCCGGGGCCCTCCTGTTCATCTCCCTATTAAGGTAAACATAGCCTAAAGTATTGTAAACTTTTCTCCCTCCCTGTTCCCAGGCATACAACTCGTTTGCATAATGCATGTTCGCTAGTTACTGATGTTTAAAGCATGTTTGATTGGTGACTAACTTTGTCACATTATTTTTCCCACGCTTGCCTTACTTGAGGTGCTCAGATTCTTAGCCACACTTTGGATTGTCTTAGGAAATTTCGACACACTTTTTGTGTGTATATGATATGTGAGGCTTTTTACTCACAACAAAATTCTTGCCACACTTGGTCTGTCTAGAATCAAACACCCACTTAATTTGGTCAAACTTGCTTAATTCAAGATGTGGCAAAGTGTTTTTTTTTTTGCGAATTGGCAAGGTGTGGTTTGGAACAACAATTTTATATATTATGCACGTTGCGTCAAATTGCCTCTGCTTCGCACAGATCTGAGGGACGACCTAAATAAATG